CTCCTTATCTGGAATAAGAAAACTCCTGCAGTTTTTCCCTCTTTGTAACAGCCTATTGATTATGTATGTCAACTCTACATCTGTGGGTGCTGATTTGATTTTATTTCTGTTTGCTCAATGATATCTAAAAAGTGACTGCTTGAAGGACTGCTGAGTATTGGGGGTCTTGTCCACAGGTTTTATAATGCATTATTTGAATCTAATTATATCAGAATGGTGTAATTACACAAGGTATTTCCTTTTACTTGCTTAGGTATTGTTTTTGGATGATACCTGCATCTGCAGTCCCAAGGCCCCAGAACTGCCACAGGCAAGATTGCCCCATATTGCCTCACACATGGCCAGATTTAGTGCTCTTGCAGGAGCTGTTTGCCAGTAAATAACAGTAGTCATTTTTCTGAGTGTTTGATGGCAGTGGATGCTGTCCTCACTTCTGTTGGTCTGGGCAGTCCTCTGCTGCTGAGAGAGAGTCAGATATGTGCCTGAATGAAAAAAGGCTGGGAAGGACTAAAAGAATTGCCTAAGGAATGAGAAGCAAACATCGATTACTTGCTCAAGGATGAAAAAGTGTTTGGTAGGCTACTTATTTAGATGGCTAAGCACATCTTGCTTCAGCATCCTGGCCTTGCACTTATAGCACATCTCCTGTCATATCAGTGATGCTCAAGCAGTTCAATGAGGGCTTGTGAAACTTCTGAAACTGCTTGTCAAGGCCAGGGCCATCAGCAAAGGAGCTCTGAAAGGAAGTGGCTGAGATGGGCTTTGGTCTATCATGGATTCAGAACCATCAGCACTAGGGTGGGGTGGTCTGCGGGGACTTTAACTCCTGTGTATGATTGCTGAACACCCCCTGCGAGGCTCCCACACTGACAGCCTCAGTCAAAGTCCTGTGTGTGCCCTTAAGCACCTGGATATCAGGCCAGATATCAGGGTGTGATTCCTGGGGTGTCCTGAGCAGGGCCCAGAGTTGGTCTTGCTGATTCTATTGGGTCCCTTCAAATTCAGCATAATCTGTAATTCTGTGATCCAGTAGCAGATCATGCAGTAATTCCCTGTGTAACTTGCAACACTCAGCACAAATCTGTGTGTGAGTGACAATTATTCTAAAATTGGGATTTCAATGCCAAGTGCAAAAGTGTTTGAGGTACAGCTTCCAGCAAATATTTGCATGTGATCAATTATATTACCTCTTTATTTAATTCAAGATCCATAATCAAGATCACCTTTATTAGATTTCAGGAAATCTTTATTGCAATCGGTTTTCCTGGGAGAGGTGCCCAAGGTTCTGAGACTGTGAGCAGAAGCCTGAGTGGAGTAGAAGTAGTTCTCAAATTACTATAGCCCTGTTTAGTTTGTCCCTGTATCTGTAAAAGCAAAATATCTATCTTCCTTTCACCTGCTAGAGCCTGCTAAGTAGGAAAGTGTGTCAAACATGGGGGAGAGTGTTGCTGTTTCTATTGTTACAGATTTATGATTTCACAGCAATATACTAATGCAAACTGGAATTAAACCTCTACTTTTGCAGAGAGAAGTGCCTGAGTAGCTCCAGCCCTTCAGAGGTGAAGAGTAAAGGAAGTAAGGAGAAGCATTTTGAAGCTAGGCTCAGATAGTGCCAGGTATTGCAACTCTTTGCTTCAAGATTTAGCTCTGTGCTTGCAACTGGATTAAGGTGGGATGTTTGGCAAGTCTCTGAATATAGATAAACATTATGCTTCACATTGGAAGGATATCTAAAATGGCAGCAAGTTATTAATGCATATATGGGACAACAGGGCTGGAATTGGTTAACAGTACAGAAAAGATTCTGCATCCTCAGTGTTTTGAAATGAAGGAGTTTTCCTGTGAAAAAAAGCTAAGTAATTAAGAGTTTGAATGACAGTCTAACAAGTCCAATGCAAAGCACTCTCTGCAAAGAGATAATGTAAACCAGAGGGTGGGAGAATACAGTGTGTGCGTATATGTGACAAAAATTCCCCGATGGTTAGGGAATAGGTGCTTTGTTTTTCATTAGCTACAATATTGGAGATGTGTCATCTTTAATCCATTTCTGTCAAGCTCAGTTGTCAGAAAGAGTGAAATTTCTTTCAAAAAAGACATAGCTGCTAATCCCTAAAAGCACAGTGCAACCACATTCTGGTCCTTCCAGATCTCTAATCAATATCTCCTTCTGCACAGATGCCCTAGAACCTTGGAAATGTCCTCATAATATTAATATAAAAGATTAAAAGTACCCTTTCCCCTCTATTCTTACCCTGAGGAAAGGGGCACTTTTTAAAATATTTGTTTCTTTCGTAACTTAGTGTCACAGTTTCATCAGTCAACTGAAAGGTCATCAACTTTTCAGTATGAATTAGAGTTTTAAAAATGATTGATGCGGTGGTCTGTTTCCTTTGGAGCCTGTCTTGTAGTGCTTTAAAAGAGTCCCCATATGGTGAAACTGGCAATTTTGAAACAAAAGCCTTCTCCCATTGAGTATGGTCAGGTACTCAGAATACTGAAAGGAATCAGTCATAAAGCTGTATTACTTTTTCACAGGAATAATACTACATGTTAGGAAAAAACTGGCTAACAATCAGATTTCTTTGACAAAAGGTGTGAAATTTGATTTTTTAAATATGGAACTCATTAGTATTATTGAATAGCCTTATCCTATTTCTCTTAGCTATAAATTATTTCCTCATACTTGGTTCCTGAGTTTTCAAAGGCTTCAGAAGTTATATAGAAGCAGGTACATGATAGAAGATTGGGCATTGTGGATGTGTTAATATATGGTAGATTTGTTTTTAACCTAAGCATACGTATTTCGGGACCCATTATCTTGTCTTTTCTTTTGATAAAGTGGTTTTAGATTGACTATTACATTCCAAGGAAATTTGATACTGATTATTTCAGTCACACAGTGACCAACACTCCTCACCTGGACAACTGTTCGTCCAGCTAGACAAGATGGAAAAATAAATGTTTTCTCCAATGTCCTCTCAGGGAAGAACCGGGTGAAAGGCAGTCTCTGGTGTGCTACATAAAATGACCAAACATCAGGACCATGACCAAGGCATGGAACAGCTCAGCTTTTGAAGCTGATACTTGCAGAAAGAGTTGTAAGTGTGAGTAACAGGTGGCAGAAGGATATGCAGAGACTATTAACATAAACATTCTTCTGTGATGCTAAACATGTGTGGTGTGAAAATCACCTTTAATTGTAGCTGTGCAGCAGCCTCTGTGCACTCACCTATGATAAACCAGACCTTTCATAAAAAAATATTGTTCATATAGGTACTAATCTGTGTTCAGTGACAACACAACACTTCATTTACATTTATTTATTGAACACTGGGATAGGCACAGAGTGTGTTTCTCTAAAAGCTTCCATGAATGTTAATGACAAGGAATATCACTTGTAGACAGCACTTGTGCCTAGGAAAATATAGAAAAGGAAAGCCAATAAAGCATCACATGAAAAATATTAGCTTGCTGAAAAGCTTTTTATGATTTGAATTAATTTTTAGTTCAGCAACACTTGTTAAGCCTATAAATAGATAAATAGTCTCTTGCCTTCCTATAGTTTTTCTCCTCTTACAGTGTGCTTTAGAAGTCTTCACATTCAGTGATTTTATTTTATTTAGTTAACACTGCAGGCTCTCTTTCAGAGAACTGCTTTGATAACAGGCTGTTTTATCTCAGTTCCTAGTACGATAAAAGCCAATTTGGAGTCACTTACTTTATACAAAACAATGCAAAGTACAAGATATTTTGATGATAATAACAACTTTTAAAAAGGATGGCCATCTGCCTTTATTCACTTCTCCTGCTTTCAGTGTCCTTTCGAGCTCCACTTTCCCTATGGAAAGATGAAATCACAGAGATCATTTTCCTGTCAGCTGCGAAGATGTGGTAACCATCTTATAAGACAAACATATGGCTGGGTCTTAAGGGCTTTTTCAAACTGGGAATTCAAATATAGGCTGCCAAGTTGTGTACAGAAGCATCTGCCACGTCAGTTCCCCATCACAATGCCTCCCTGTACCACCAGAAAGCCTGAGCTGGTGCCTGCTCTTTTCCAGGCTGGCATTTTATGGCAAAAACCAGCCACAAAAATGTAGAGCTGTGTATCTGAAGGCTTAACTTTAAACTCCTTAATCTGAATGTTTTAGGAATAGTTTGGGACAGATGAGAGTCATCCTTGTGGAGAGTTCCAGTAAAATCCCAGTTGTAAGCTGCAGGGTAAGAGCATAGAAAACTTGGAAGTTGAGCAATCTCTCCGTGTGGAACAGGGAGTGATTATTTTGAGATACACTTTAGTCCCACTGGCAATGCCATTCACACAGTCCTTATTGGGTAGGCCAAGAAGGATCTATTTATTTATTATCTATTTACTTATTATTCCATCTGATTTATTTTTGCATTTCTGCTGTCTGGTCCCTGTATCTTGCTTTATTTGTGGTCTCTTGGTTCTGATGGCTTCCCTCCTGAAGAGGGATAAACAGGAATGGCTGCATACATGGGTCTGTAGCAGCTCCTCATGGCTAACCAGAACGTGTTTCCAAATTCAACCACTTGGTCTACCTGCTGTCCAGTGCTCCTGACCTCCTCCCTTTTGTGAGGAATGTTGTCATTTGCCTCTGTGAGCTGTTATGGCTCTAATTGGAGGTTGACTTCCTTTGACCTTGAAACATGGTGTGATTCTGGTAGTGGGGTGGTCTTGACCATGCTTTCCTTCTACCGGTGGCTCTGGGAAGTGAGGTCTGCACTTAAGAGAAACACAGACAAAGGAATTTGCAGCTAACTTCCTCATCAGCTCCTCACAGGAGAAAGACCTGGATATATAGAGCTTAATAAGGCATTTTTCTCCGGGTAACCAGCGCAATTACGAGAAACTTCCTCTTTAAAATTTTTGTGTGAAGACAACTGTTTTGGTTGAAACTGTGCGTGGTGCTTGTGGGCTAAAATCCCTGTTGATGTTTTTATATAGTAATACTTTTTTTTAACTGTATGGGTTTCTTTTCTTTGCTTGGCTTTTTTGGTGGTCTATAAGCAAGGTCTCTGAAATGTTTATCAAAACAGGCTGGTGATTTTTATAAACTTTTTGTTTTGAAGAAGAATATGTCCCCCATTCTAGGAAGTTAGTTTACTTTTTCTAATTGCATGGAATTTGCCCTGAAAATCAGAGGAGGATGTGTAGGAAGAAAAAGGTGCAGGAAGTTAGATTTATTGCTATTTGTGAGGCCATTTAACACTGTTCAGAGCAGTTTTAGCTCATCAACACCCCACTGGTGAAACTCAAAATATCTATCATGTTTATCTGAGACAGCCTTCTGCAATATATCTTCATTTGTTCTTACCTAGTATTTACTCTCACCCTTTACTTTACTTTTTACCTTACTTTAAAACTTCAGTCATTTACTTCAGGAGCCAAAACTCTTTTCCCCCTTACCCCATGTACTGAATAACAAACTAATAAACAGGGAGTTAACAATTCCAGAAATATTTCCTCCACCTAAACTGTTGAATAGGAACCATGTTCCTAGCAATTGGAATCCCACTGGAAATATGCCTTGAACAGACTTAAAGCTGCAGACATTGCAATCAAAAGATTAATAGATAAGTAATTTATTATAATGAGTTACTCTCCAACATGGAGACTATTTTAAAACTTTAAGATTGCTAAAATAAGACATTTAATAAACACAAAGAGAAAAGCATTTCAGTAGCTGAATTTGAAAAAAAAACCCAGACAACCACCTTTATTCACACATCTAACATTGCCTGGAAAAAAAAGAGTTTTAAAAATATTGTAGTTAAGTATTTGATTAAAGAGTACAGAAAATAATTTTTCAAAAATAAATCTTTATTAGCAGTCTGGGTCAGAGAACCGTATATTCACTTTGATTAGGGTTTTCCATTGAGAGGAATAAAAATTGTGTTTCACAGGTTGCAAGTTAAAAAATATGGAAAGTGATGTATTTACATTACAAAGATGAAATTGAGTTACAGTGGCTACTAGGATAAGTGTTGCAAGCTAGACATCAGAAGAGGGATGTGAACCCAATTTACCAGGCAAATTAACTTTGTCAGAGCACTTGAGCTGGCACAAAGATAACAGCGCCTTTAGGAGACAAACTGCCTGCCTTGCTGGTGTACTCCAGTGTTTCTCTAATGACTATAAAATTCTTCAGGCAAGATTTTTTTCACCAGCCTAAGGGCACCAGAAGGTATTGATAAATGTGCAACAGAAATATAATGAAAGCTGAACTCAATGCCCTAACTCTTCATATCCTAAAACTTGCTGAAAGAGTTCTGGTTCTTTTGCTCTGCCTTACTTAAATTGCGCTCCTGCATGACATGGCTGCCACTGATTTGCAAACAGAGCTACTCAATATTTCCAGGACTTCAATAACAAGCCCAGAGAATTCCTTAAAAAATAATGTCCTGGAAAGCAGAGTAGTAGATAGAGCCTGGCTAAGCTGAAGGGCAGTGAAGCCTGTCAGCAGTGTCCATCTGAGGCAGTTCAGATACAGACTGAAATGCATTTGGCATCTCTTTCCTGATTGATAGTGAGCCATACTCTGTTTCACCTTGTGCCCAAGGGTTTCACACTGCTTCATACAAGTAAGGTGAATGGTGTCTGGATGCAGCCAGGCATTGATTGAGGGGATCTTACCACACTTGTCAGTGCAGAAGGTTTTCTGCTATTCCCAGACAGCTCAGTGTGAGAAAGGGAAATGGGCCTCAACGATGTACCCAAGGTTATGCCACAAATTAGTTACAAGATGGGAAGCAGTCACAAATGGTCCCCTTGTGGGATCATGGGGCTGATCTGCCTACCTAAATATAAAAGAAAAACAACCCTCTTTGCAGTGAGAAATTTAAGCCAATTTGTATTAAACAATTTACTATGAGATTTGATTAAAAAAAAATAAAAACTTTGTGAAGCTAGACTAAACAGTGTTCACAGCATAGTGGTCATCCTTTGATGTGTCACTTTAGAGAAGCTGAGGCAGAATGTGCTTTTTCTGTGTAGTTTAATAAAAATAAGGCTGTGAAACATCTTATGATGCAAAAATCCAAGACTCTCCTCAACATCTAACACTGAACCTTAAAATTACCATACCTGAATGTGGCAAATGAGTTGTGTTCATTAATTTTAGCAGCATCTGTGCCCATTTTCACCAGCTAAGTATCTAGCATTCAATATAAGCAATTTTCTTGTCCCTTTTCAATTAGCTCCATTACAGAAAATTGAACTAAATCATATCTTTTAGCAGGAACCAAGAATTCAAGAGCTAAATTTTTGCATTTAATTAAAACCTCTTCTTGAACTGTTAATTTCCTGAAAAAGATATCCAGTCTTTTTTTTTTCTCTGATCCACATAGTTCCTGAATTAAATGGCTCATTTACTCTGAGTTGACTCTTGAAGTGTACACTTAGGCTCCAACTCTCATGACAATCTCAGAAGATGATGGGAATCATAGCTGCTTTTCTCCTCACTTCTGGATAAAATCTCTTCAGATACAGCTTGTGTTTCTTCTGGGCCCACAGAGACATCTGGATGACCATCAGGAAAGCAAAGATGCCAACTAGCAGGGAAAAAGATTTAAAGAAAAGGATCATGTGTGTTCTTTCACTGCCTGTTTCTGGAAATACAGTAGGGTTTATGGAAACATTTGCAGTCTCTTCTGTGGGCAAAGACAACACAGCAATTCCTCTCAGCCTGGAAATTGCTGATACACCATAGCCAAACTCAGCGTCCACCGCGGAATTCACACAGATAACCTTCACGTTTGTTAGACACACCCTGTACCACCTCCGACTTCACCATAAATCCATATATCACAAGGCCTCCTTGGCCATGGTGCTGTCTCAATCCATGGTCTCTCTCAACCTTATTTCCAGTTTACTTCTGAACTATAACACTTCTTTATTTCTACTTCTGCTGCCAACCATGACGGGGAGCTGTGCCTTAACTCCCTGCTGTGTAGAGGGAGAGCTCAACCCTAAAGCAAGTAGGCAATAGCTGCCTGATCCAGCAAATAGGCACCAAATAGGGAATAATTTTACTGCATTTGCATTTTGAAAATTCATTATCCTTTGGTTAATGTGGAGGTGGTTAATCAGAAACATCCCTTTGGCATCTGGACAAGTTACATCTGGGACAATTACAGCAAGAATCAGTGTGCTGCATATGTTTCTGCTCCTGCCATTGTAGGGACATTGTCCCCAAACTTTCAGATGATTTCTATACCAAAGCCTAAAATCCAAGTTTCATCTTTGGAAACAAAATTCCAATTTAATTTTTGCATGATGCAGTTTAACCCACTTTTGAAATTTGTTTCTTTTCCATTTGTAAGTGACGTGGGGCTACTTCTTACAAGTAGTTTTTATAGATTTCTATTTTGAAATGGAAAAATAATTATAAACTGAATGTTTTGGAGAGCTCAGTCCCAGGGACCATATTTTTGTGAGTGTTTAGGTCTCTGAGGATGCAGCAAAGTACAGAGCAAGAGTCACAAATTCTACTAAGCAGGCTGCTCTTATGAGCATCTTGGAAGTTTATCTCATATGATAAATTTGATGGCAATATTTCATATGCTATAAACTTTTTTGGCAAATCTTAGATTTCTAGAATTCTTTTCCATGAACACTTTAAATGCTGTCTTCATTCTGTTTCAAACTTACCTGGCAGAGTTTGTGTCATCACTGTGAAACTAATCCAAGACCCAGCCTGTTGCAAAGAAAAAGGCACAGTTAGTTCTATATTTATGTAAAGCAAAATGACAAGTTTTAAAAAGCTTCCCATGGAAAAATAGTGTGGTACTTGTATTGGAAATGGGAGAGGAAAAATAGTTAGAAATTAACCCCTCAGTGTGCTGGATGGGGTGAAGAAATGGGTGAATCTTTAAATCACTGGGGAGACTGTAGTGGAGGAAAATATAGACAAAAATCTATGTGATAGTAATGTGAGGGAAGAGGAGGGTTTGGTGGAGAAAGATTTGTGGGAGCAAGGAGACTGATATACGATGCACAAGGATGGATGTGCAGAGGGAACTGCATGGAGGTATTGCAGATTTTCTGCAGAAAAAGGCTGAAACAGTAACCACCTACCCTTTGCACATAAGCAGAAGAAAGCCATGTACCTCATATGTATAGTTGGGACAGGATACCAGCAAGAAGAGCCACGTAAAGGGGTTGTAGGTTGGACTTGGAAAACAGGTTCTATTTCCTTGTGAAAGGGAAAAAAAAGGGTGGGGAAAATCAGAAGCAGTTTCAGTACAGGGAGAGGGGAACTGAGCCTTATCACAGCCTGCCTACATAACAGCAATCCCCTGGGCCAATACTCTCAGGGCATAACCTGTTAGAAAAGTTTCAGTGAAATCTTTTGCGGTAGCAAAAGCTGTATTTATCCCAGTGGGAAAGAACTTAAATCAGTTTTTTGGCTCTTGCTGCTTTTAAGCTGAATTAAGTCCCTTGCAAGAAATAACAAGCAGTTTCCTAACCACAGTGCTTGAAAACATTCCATAACAGAAACTGACTTCTGTGTGTGAGGTTGATCATACTGTGGTATTTTCTTGAATAGGGTGTTCTAGCGGGGAAATTACACTATTAGTGTCTGAAACCATATTTTACTTTCTGGTATATATTGTATAATCTTTATTCTCCTGACACAAAAATGCAGAAACCCCAACCTGTTAAGAGCATACATATACACTGTGTAAGTATTCATGAGTCTTTCTCTGTGTATTTGAATATATGCATGTACATCTTTGCCTGAGATGAATGTCTAAAAACTCTGCGATATAGTTTAGAAGTTTTTGAGACTTATTTAAAATAAAATATATTTATGTCAGTCACAAGCATGCTTTAAAGAACTTCAGTGCTTAAATCCATATTTAAAGTACAGTTGTGTCTAATTAAGATAAATTTGCTATAAGTTTTGAAACAATAGCAGTGTTACTAATATTTTCTTGTCACAACTTTTTGAAGGTGTTAGACCAATGGCATGGTTACTACTTCATCTTTCTTTATTCAATGGCTGTAGGTACATAAATTACTGTACAGCAGCAGGAGATGGATAGGTTAAGGAACAGGAATCAAAGACAGACCTTCATTGGTTTGGTGAGCTAAAGCTACGTTGATAAAGTGATTTCCAGCTTCACACATCTGCAAGACATTAAAAACATATTTTCAGTCATTTGCCTAAAACGCTGTGACAATTGTGTGCAGTGCATAACCAGAACCCTCCCCATTACAACTCATTCTCTGTCTCCAAGAAATATGTATTCCAAAAAACAACCTGTCATCTCTGTCACACACACAAGTGTCCAGTGAACACTGTGGGTGCAGCCTGGGGTGAAAGCCCCTGGCACATCCTTCAGTGGGGTTCCCACGTCCAGCACGTGCAACATGTTTGGGCCTGGGGAGGTCTGGGTTTCCTGGCTCTAAGAAATTAATTAAGATGCTGTTCTTGATTTTTTTTCTGGATTTAATCCAAGCTGGAAAGAAGCAGTTGAAAAGTTGACCTCAGATTTTGTAAAGATGCCACAAGTCAATGTCCCTGCCCCTCTTCCTATATACACTTTCAAAGGTGTTCAGCAGATCAGGAAGGAAAAAAAAGTGATTAAAAAAGCAGTAGTCTGTAAAAGGCAGGCTGGTTGAATGGATGTAGTCAGGTATTGATAAAGGAAGGGAGACAGTACTATTCCTGGTTCTGGAACTCTCTGGTTATGCTGTTTCCAGCCATAACCAGTTTCTCAAAGCTGGTCTCTAACATTTAGGTATTTCAAACCTTTGGGAGAAGTACTGTTTCTCTCCATTTGGCTATACAGCCTGTAGCAGAGGCTGATTTCAGACTTGCTTTTGGTATTTCATCAGTTACGACTGCTGAAGAATGAAAATCAATATTTACCCATATTTAAAATGAAAACTGGTACGAAAATCAGTTTAAATTCCTGAAGAAGATGACCTGTCATCACAACTGTGTAATTTTATGGTTTTCATTTTTCCCCTACTCTGTGAAGAAAAATAAAATTGTGTATACAGTTCAAGCTTAGGCCGAATTAATCTTTCTTCTTAATTTCTGGGTTTGAAGACTGATTTGTCCTCTCAATTTGAAAAAAAAAAAATGCAGTGTTAAAAAAGTTGCATTTTCTTATTTAATTTGTCATTCTATATTTTGCAATGGTCAAAAATATTTAAGAAATTAAAACAAGAAGGAAAATATTAAAACCTGGAGATGTTAAAAGTGTGAAGTCACAAAATTAATACAAAAAAGGAAGAGCTTCAGCTGTCATTTTTAAGTCAATTCTGAAAATCATCCATAACAATTTTTTGTTAAAATTAATTGAAAGAAATATGCAATTTCATTTTATATTGAAATGTGCTATTATCTGAAAAAACATTGTAGATAGAGGTATTGCTGAAGAATTTTCCCCTTTTTGGCATATTTTTGTGGGGTTTGTTTGGAAGACTTAAATCAGGTTTAATTCATAAATAGACCTGTTATTAGCTGTTATTCTGCATGGTTAGGTAGGTACAGTTCAAATCCTGCTGTCCTTTTAAATTCTTTTAATTCCAATTAATTGACAATCCTCTACTATAAATACTAGATGTAAAACACTAAGCAGCCAGAAAATGAAATTCCATTATAAAATACCATATCAGAAGCTATAACTCTAAGCATAGCAATGGACATAATTTTAATTTACATACTTCCAATTATGAGCTGGTAACGTGATTTGTTTTTTCTGATTGCTATTATTTTAAAGAAATAGGTTTTGTGGTTAGAAGAGGTTTTGTAAAACACTATAGCTAATGAGATGACTATAATAATGTAGAGCAAGAGATATTCACACACTATTTTATTTTGTATGTTGATGTTTTAAATTAGTTGTCTGGGAATCTGCCAACTAGGTGCCTGATGCAGATCTTAAAGGGATTGACATATTTCATAGCAAACACCCCCAACAGGAATCATCCCTTTGCTTTATGGCAGCATTTTCCTTACAGGGCATGTTCCACTGATGCAGGGAAGGATGTTTCAAAGGAAAAGGAGGCTTTCTCTAAGCAGAGACTTTGATGAGGACTAGTTTTGCTGGCAGCACTGAATATTTAGGCAAGGAGTTTGCTTGGATTCAAACACCCCCTGAGCCTGGGAAGGGTGCACACAGCAAGGTTCTGGGCATACTGCTGGCCACCAGTGCCACAACCTCCTGTCTCTGCAGTACTGGGCTATTGCTTTTGGCTCTAGAGCATCATGGAGTGTGTGAACTTCTTCACAGAAGTATTTTTCTTGTCTTTGCTGTACCTTATTAGAGCAAAAAAAGCTGAGAACTGCGTGGACAGACCCAGAGACAAATACTGCCAAAACTGTGACCTTTAAGGGTCCTGTTTTACAAAAGCATTTAAATATTGCTAACAAGTTTTTGGATATTTTTCTGAATAGCATTTGCCTGAAGAAGCCTAGACATATTATTGTACCATCACCCTATCATATTTCTGAAAACTGATCTGTATCTGATTTTCAAAGAGGATGCTTTGGGTACTGGCCCAGCAGTTCCAGAGGACAGAGAGGATATACATTTCCATGAGAATTTCTTACCAAGCCTCTGTCTCACTATAAAGTTATGTTCAAACAGCAGGCTGGGTTTGATGAAGAAGTTTTGATGAAAGAAATCTCAGCCATCCTTCATCGGCTGCACTTTCCCTTGGTTTATTCCAATTTTGCAGGGTTTATTTATATAATTTTTAATAGCTGTGGATGTACACTATTCGGGGTACACTGAACTATTGCAAAGTCTGCTTGGCATGTAATTCTTCAGTGTTTTAAAATGACAAGTTTCAGTCTATCTAAATATTAGTGTTCTAACACAATTACCAGTAGTAATAATGCTGATGATGTTCTCACAGCTCTCAAATACAGTACTTCAGTTTAAACTCTGTGTACATAAATATTAGTAGGACACTACCTGACTGAGAAACCTTAATATTAAGATTAGTAGTAAATCCAGTCAAACTACACAAGGCTGTGGACATGGACTTATATGTATTTATACACACAAATGCACAGAGGCATTACTGCATTTTACTAAATTGTGAGTTAATCCTATTACATTATCATAAATAAAACTTCATTTTTGTACATACCAGAAAAGCAAGAGCAGCATAAGAAACTTGTTTGTGGCCAAATGCTAGAAAACAGAATGAAATTATAAATTTCATTTTACGGTATGCACATGGTTTGCTATGGATGAAATTAATCTAGTGCTGAGGAGCAGAAATGCTTCTTTCCTGACAGGCTCTGCAGAAAGATTGGATATTACCACACACAGTATGAAGACAATACAACCAGTAACAGCACTCTAGAAATGCCAGTTTTACACCACTGATCTCAAGGCACTTTTCACCCAACTGTTTTTAGTATTTGCCAGCTTCAAATATCCAAGTGTTTTGTCAAAGCAGCTGGTGGGGGTGAATCCCTTGAAAAGGCAAGGAGGGGAGTGGACTTAAGGTCAGTGTCAAATCAGGCCAAGAATTGCAGCCTTATCCATAGACCCTCCTACTTCCATGAGCAGAAAACTCAATACATAACCTATCCATTATCTTCTTTTTACTTTAGTAGTGAGGCAATTATGAGGCTTTACTACACAGCCACTACCTGTTTCACAGTCATGCAAGAAATACATTTAATATTTGTAAATTTTACCTGCCATCTGGCTGCCCCCTCCTTTTTGTGGTTGTCCCCAAACTAGTGTAGGGCTCTACCATGTTCATGTCCAAAGGTTTACAATTCCCAAGCAAACCTTGGTCATAGCTGGCGGACACAAACCATGTGTACATACCTCACTTGCCTTGGCCATGTCTCATCAAGAATTTACTTTTGAGAACTCCTTTTTACTGACTGGCACAGGACTCCTCTGTGGTGCCAAAGGCATTTTAAGGCAGTGGCAAGCAATTAGAAATATTTCTTGTGGATGCTTCCTCTTTTGTGTCTTGAACAAAGAGTTTCCCCTATAAAGAAGCTGCACTTGATTTGATAGCCCAGACTGCTAAAAGCTGTGTCTAGGGAGGTTTCTGCATTGTTTGCAGCATTGTTGTTAAAGCCACATCAAATACAGCTGTCATTCAATGAATCACATAATTTTGAAATAGAACTTTTGTACTAGTTTGAAAGAAAAGCAAGTGTCATCTAGGAGAAATTTTTTATTGAAGAAGCTTAGCAATTTAATTAAGTGTAAATAAAAATGGCAAAGCAAATGCTTCTGTCCTGAAGTTCATATATAAATCTGAGATACAGATGAAAAGAAAGACTAGGGTACAACAAGGAAAGTAAAAAGTAAAGTAGCAGAAAATAAAACCTGTGCCAATTATTCTCAAAAGAAGCAAAAGTGCACAGAGCAAACAGAAAAAAATCATGAAGAAACAGCAGTGCAACAATAAAACATGATAAGAGGGAACAAAATGATGGATGAAATGCAAAAATTTTAAAAATAGATCTTTGTGTTAGCAGCAGTATGTGATGGATTTTTACTGGTTTCTCAGGGAAAAAAAAAAACAAAACAAACAACCCTAATTTTCATGGAAAGGCTGTATCTTTAGCAAATAAGTATCTCCTCCAAGCAAATGCAACCAGCTCTATTTCTCTCCTGCCCTCTTTAATACAAATGTTGTGAAGATGAGCAAAATGTATTGATCTTTGTTTTTTCTCTGCTTGTCCAAATTGTCCTGTTCATAAACTGGACAGCGATTGACCATTGCTGAACAGGCACAAAGATTCAGTGGCACAAAACAGAGGTGCTTCCAACACAACAATCTTCGTCCTGACAGGGAGCAAAGACTAATTTCTGGCTGGATCAGCCATATCATTTAATGTGGGAGCAATTTACACGGCAAAGACTTTGTCAAAGCGAGTTTGTCAGTTTTGTGTTCTACCCATACCTACATGGCGGTGTGTACCGTGGATGGTTGACGTAGTATGCAATCCAGGATGTGAATCCCCAGTAAAAGGCACAGCCCTGGAACAGACAGATAATTTTTTTTTGAAAGGGCAATAAGGAAGTGCAAACTGTAGCTTTAAAAGTATAAATTCTGCCAAATGGAAAACCTGGGTGACCATTGAAAGACTTTGCAGTTGCTTGTGAGCTTTAGAATATATATCTTTCTAAGATGCTGTGAAGCCAGTAAAAAATAAATTTTGGATACAGTGTAGAATTTTTTTATTATTGTGTTGAATGTATTTTATTCCTGTTATAGGAATTGGCACTTGTCTTCTCCTTTTTTGATTTTACTGCTGAAGATTACATTTATATGAGTAGTGCTATAGAGGGCCCTCTCCAAGTCTAGGGCTGCTTAACACAGCTGAGCTGTTACTGTACCTGAAATTTGCCATTTCCAAGCAAGATAGAGCAAGAGAAACAGAACTCTAAACCAGACAAAACAAGAAAAAGTGAAACCCTGTATTGTAGCCATGTCTTAAAATCCTTCACCAAAATCCTAAATGTTTTAAGGGAGGGTCTTTACATCACACTGAATGGGATGGAGGGGTGATACAAAATGGCCAAGATAGAGCATATAAAATAAAAGAAAAGAAAGCCTGTGAGTAATGACACACTGTTGAAATTCAGGCTTTGGAAGAGAAAAGACCTGGCCAGCTCAGTATCTTCCTGCCTGAGGCCTCCATCTATAGAAGAAGAATGGGTTTTTTCCTACTTGTAATTTGATTTTCCCTCCCTTGCACAAGGCTGTCTCTTGCTCTGTATTTATATTGCACCAAGGAAGTAGTGTATGATTTCTGTCAACACTGCTGGATGTTGCAGCAGCAGCTATCACCATTAAATAGCACTGAGTCTGAAAAATATCCTGGAGTTGACAATCAGCCCCTTGGGTGAATGAGTCAAAGTGGACATTTACATGCAGGAGCAAAAATGGACATGATTTCAGTTTATGTCCTTGGGAACACGATCCTGAAATCCACCCTGTTATCTGTATTTTCACTAAACATAACTCCTGGAGCTACAAAACAAATTAATTTTTATTTCCCTATCTTCTTCCAAGGACTCACAAGATGATAAAAATATTGTCACCTTTATCATATTTTTCAAAGGAGTGTGCCCTTCCGAAAACTTGTGAACAAATAATGTCTCCAGAAGATGTCTGATGTAGTGTAAACAGTGACAGAAGCAGGCCAAGCTGCAAGAGAAAAAAAAAAAAGAAAGGAAATTAAGGTAAGTGAAAGATTATTTTTATTACTTCACAGTTAACATCATTAAAGGAGTAAGACCTAATATTCCAAACTGCAGTCACATTAAAATTGTGGGATTTAAGATACTGTCTCAATTGAAGCATCTGGAACCAAAGATTAATGGAATCATTTTCAGTGCTAGACAAAGTTGCTTGCATTTTGCGGGGAAGCAACTTATTTTTACTAGCCTTGAAATAAAATGAGCTCCTCAAGCTCTGAATGTGATACATAGTCCTGACAACAGATTTAGATAGGACAGCTGCGTATACAGCCAGGCGTCTGACGTGCTTTTCCAAAAGATGTCTCCCACGTTTTAAGGCCACCTTAATGCTCCTGTAGGATGTGTCTGACATTTAAAAACATTCTGAATAACTTCTGAATGGTTTCCTTGTCCTTTTCCAACTCAAGTAGCTGCATGGAGGTAGTTTGTTCTTCATTTCCTTGTGGACACAAAATGAGATTTTGTTGCAAGTTTATCCATTCTGATGGCTTTTTTGTTGCCTGTTATAAAGAAATGAAGCAATTGTGGTAGAAATTATTCTATTGATTCTCTTTTGAGTAAGATTATGAAACAATAACAGGCACTGCTGATTTGCTTCCGAGAATGAGCTGCAGCTCATAGTGATTGAATTTCAGAAACAAATGTCAGGAGTGATTCTTAATGGCATTTTATCTTGGTTACATTTACCATACTACCATAGCTCCTCTTCTGCAAACCAATTATAAGACATAAATGAAAAGTGGTTTTCAGCATGTGAAATCTCAAATAATTTTATTATGCATTGTGTATGGTAGCTAAAGTCAAAGATTAAACAATTTCAAAGTAATTAAACCAGAGAGAGTTGAGCTAAGAGAATTTTGAACAATTAACGCCTTATCCAAAGCCTGGAGCAAACTCCCAACTTCGCTGGAAATTTTTAAATTAATTTGGCTTAGGATGGGGACCTCAGATGAACCTGTTAAGGAGTAGTCACTGGCAGGATTCTGCACAACCCTTGCCCACATAAAAGAAGGCAAAGACATTGCAGGTTCTTCTGTGCTGCCAGAAACCCTCTCCTTTTAAGCATATGCACAAGAGAAGGAAGAAAAGTATCTTGCAGCTCTGGATTTGAATTCAATTATTCTGTGTTCTCATTCCCAGCTCCACTAACTCCCTTAATGTCTCTCCAAGTGCCTGTTCCTCCATCTGTAAATGGCATTATTACTCACTGTATTTCTCTGCTGTACCAGTTCCCCTGATTCTGCAATCACAGTGTGGAAGTGCATGGGAAAGCTGTACAGTCCTTGAGCCTCTTAGGTGCCTGTGTACCCTCCTATAAGTGGTACAGCTTATGCAGGTGACAGGCTTTCCTTGATCACTTGTCACCTTTTGCCAGGCACTAATCACCCAGAATGGGGACAATTCCACTGATTTCCTTTCATTCCTTTAAGTGTGAAAGTTCCCAGTCTGCCTGGTGCATTCTACCACCATCCTGTGGAGATGCTTCTTTTGAGTTTCTTGACCTGACTCATGACATGCACACCTGTTGAATTTCCTCCTTCCCATGCCTAGGTGAGAGCTGGTGTGGGGTTAGTTATCTTCTGTGCTGGATGCTGATGCTGCTCATCTCAAGGGCAGGAATGTGCTTTAAGGCAACTGGGAGTGGGGCACCTGAAGTCTTGTCCTCTCTGTCAAGCATGACTTTGAGTTAACTACCCACTGTGATTTTTATTTCACTTTCTGACTTGATGTCAAAGTATTTGGAGAAAACACTGCATCTCCATGGTAACCAGGTGCAGTGACCTTTGCTGGGATCCTATTTTTGGTCAAGCTTATGAGTGTTGCTAAAATGACTAACAGGTATTGGTAATAACTGAATATGACACCAGGCAGGCAGCCTCAGACCCTCTGTAACATCCTCAGCTCTGGAAATGCAATCTCCATCCCTTAAGTTTCTTATGATCCGGGAAAATAATTCCCATAAGTGTCACTTACTGAACCACTGGGTGACGGAAGTTCTTCCTGCTTTCCACTTGATCATAAATAGTTGAGAGGCGAATATAAAAGAGCAGATATATGAGAAGAGGTCCGGTGTATTCTGTTAGAAAAAACTAGAAATGAAAAATAAAATAGCTGTGACAGAGTAGAAAATTGTATCAGGAAAGGTGTGAGAGAAAGAATACCCCTATCCACAATCCTTATTCATCCTTCAAATGACTTTTGGCTTCGTTTTCAGGACTTAAATGACACATAGGGGATTATTCTGCAGTCTCTTTAGCAGAGTTTACTCCATCTAGGAAATGAGAGATAGGTTTCTGTGCAGAACATTAACCCAGTCAGGAATGCTTCATGGAAGGCTGTCAATATCACAGTTATCTCCTCTTTATATTTTGGCTGTGCCATCAGGTGCCTATTTGGAATCTAACACTGAAAAACAAGGCCAAGAAACTGAAGGCAGCCTGCTTTCTGCCAGTGCTTTTTGCAATTAAGTGGTACAACAGTTAAAAGCCAACTAGGCATGAGAGAAGCAAACACAGCTTTGAAACCTGGAAGCTTGTAGGGTCATCTGGAACAGAGGCTATCATTGCTTGAAAATTGGTAGAGGATGGAAGAGCAGGACCAGCCTGCATCGTGCTTTGATCTCTTTTTTGGTTACTGTGTGGTTCTCCTCCCTGTGCAGGCACCAGCAGAAATAGTCTGTGGTGGGCAGACTGGACAAATTACCCTACTGTGATGAAAACAAAGTAATAATTTCATCTCGCCATTGTCACCCCTGCTAGGCACAGGGAGCTAAGAAGGAAGGACAGGGAGAAAAGGCAGAGTCATGGAGATGACATGAGCCACCCTCAGTTTTAAGGTCTGACTTTGGTTGGGTGCAGTCTATATTGTTTTTTGTTGGGGAATGTTCTTAAGCCACACACAGATGGAAGAAGTAAAATGACATTAGAGTGATGAGAGGTCTAGATTTGATCACCTGTTACTGACCACTGGACTGAATCCCAGAATAAAATGGAAGTGGTGTAGTCCTACATGTTTACAATGGCTGGCAAATCATGGCTCAAGTGCCTATCATTGCTTCAGGGAGAAAGATTTATAACTGGTGGGTTATTTAGCTTTATGGTGTCTATTGGCACTGCTGTAGAATTGTAATAAATAAACACCTGTGGCTTAAGGAAGCAACACTGACTTTAGATCACCTTTTACAGAACTGGTATTTGGCCCCCCAGCAGGCTGTTCTAATCGCTCTTCAGAAGAACATTGAAAGGGAAAGGTTTTCCTGCAGGAATATCTGGCAATTAGGTTCCCTTTTCCTCTGTTACAGGACAAAACCTTTTGAAATTTTATCCTTTTATAGCAGAACAGTCTCTGAAAGTAACAACAGACTTAAGTGTTCTCTACCAGGGGAACATCAAATTCCCTTTTGTTCCACATGGCATCATGACTCCTGTGCTCCATTTAGACTACACGATCCCAAGAGCAGGTGTGTGTTTGTGTGTGTATAAAAAGATTTAATCCAGGAGTCCAAGAGCACTCATTGTGGAAAACCTCACAGCCAAGGGCTTATTAGAATTTTGTCCTGATAGCAGTTGTATGGATCTGTTCCAAAATGTGAGCCCACTGTGTTTGGCACTCTGCAAACGCGGTAAGGGATGGCCTCTGCTATTTAAGCCTAACACACTAAATCTAGACCATGGTGGTGTAGGGGACAGAGGTGCAGGTCAGAGGAAGAGCCTGGAATGAGCTGCTTTGTCCAGTGTAGCTTTTTCTCTCTGCCATGAGCTGCACCACAAAGTACAACCATAACTGCCAGCTTTCAACATCTGTTTGGCACAAGCACATTACAAAGCTGCCAGGAAGAGTTTGGCAGGACTTAGCACCAAGTTGTGTTTACTTGTAACTGCATCAAGTGCTCCCCCCTTACCCCCTGACTGATTTCTGATGTTGAAAAGAGAAGGAGAGTTTTGAGATTTAGTAAAAAATCCAGTCTTTTTTTAAAAGCCAAAGCTCCAGACACAAGATAATCGAATCCTTGTGATGGGGTTTGATGTAGGAAGGGGGGATGCATGAGTGCAACTCAGAGAAGCAGTTGACAGCACTCACTCTTGAGCTGGGGTTTGTGGAGGGGAGCAGCATGAGGATGCTCAGGGTGGGGACAGGGTTCAGTCTTGTCTGTGTGTCAGTCATGTCACCCAGTTGGAAGCATGTGGTGCAGGCTCAGCCATGAGATTTGCAATCACACTGGGCACTGTCTGGCAGGCAGGACTGCTTTTGCCTTTGTCATAACTGAGTCACAAATTATGATCTTAACTATGATCAGTAACATTCTGTTTTAGAGGATGAGGCTCAATTTGCTGCAGTAGTTTTTGCTGTTGTTTAGTTTAGTTTAGGTAAGTTTCAGACTCTTTCCTTCTGTTGCATCTCCCATGCTGTGATCACTGCTCGCATTCTCTGGCCTACTGATTTTTAATTTGTCATAAATGAAAAACAAGTTCCAGAAAGGTAGGCAGAGAAACTGCTAAAAATTCCCATGAATTCAAGCAGATGAATGGGAAAGTAGTCTTAAATTAACACAACATTACAATTATTGGTTCTACCCACTGGCAATCAAGGGCAAGCACCGTTCTTTTACTATTGATTCTCAATGGTTATATGCAATTAAGCCTAATTAGTATCTTCATACTCATCCTATAGCTGACTAATTGCTGGGCTTGGGGAGTTACTTGTTGTGTCAAGGATCAGGTCAATCCATCATTCATATAGGTGCTCAAAATTAGTAATCTCTGCTGACACACTCTGCAAAAATAACAATCACATTTTAAGCAAAGGCCTGAAAGTAATAACATTGTAGCTTGTTGTTTCTGGAAAAAAAAGTATCTTTTTTTTTTTTTTTTAAGTGATCATTTAAAACACAGAGGACATTTACCCTGTAGAAATGTAAAAAGAATATAGAAAAACAAACAAACAAAAGCACCAAACCCCAATATTTAGAAAAAAAATATTTTTTCTTTGCCATCTTGTGGTCCTGCCTAGATTATTTTGATATGTTTGGTACAACCAAATATGGTGATCCATAATAAACACAAATATCTTTTCCTAGAGGAGCAGTATGTCTCTATAACAACGAGCATATCTCAATAAGATTTAACTGTTGAACTCATCATAAACTCCTTGAAGAGATAAAACAGGAGATTTCCTTTTTTTTTTTCCACATCTGTACATTCTTCTTCATATCTTGCACAGTGTCTAGTTCTCTTACCTTCCTTCTCTCCTCTCCAGTGTCTGACATTATATACTCTGTAGACCTCTTATTCTTGGTAACAGAGAAAGTGCTCTTAAATGAAAGTATTCTGGAATCAAAACTCTCCCCACCATGGTCAGTATTTAGGGTGCTAAAATGAAGCTTTTTTAACCATCTCAGTTATCAGTCCTCAGAGATCTGATTCAGCAACTCCAAAACTGGAAATATCTACTCTGTAAACATCAAAACCAGTCAGAAGAGAGCTTAGTAGGAGCTTCAATTATCCAAGAGATGATGGAACAAAAGGTAAAACAATACAGGAGAGCTAATCTGCAAATCAGCAAAGCATCTTGCATAAGCCAGATTGTACCTTCTTTTATCTCTTATTCAGCTCATCATGCCAGGAACACCTTGCTGAACAGAGTAAAAGCCAGGAATTAAGATCCCAGACCTTGTGAGGTATATTTAGGGAAGTAGGAATGCTGCAGAGGTGAAAGGAGTTCTTTAAAGTTATTGGAAGGATTTTCTGGCTGTTAGGGGGTGACATAGAGCCTGACACTGTCCCAACAGGTCTGCCAAAGAGAGTGGAAAGGATTTTGATGTGAGTTAAAGTATTATGTGTACTGGTCAGGAAAAGGCAGAACAGGACAAAAGGAAGTTGTAAACACAGGCAGTGGAGTGGAGGGAATCTGAAAAAGGTCCAACCAAATCTTTATAAATGAACAGCCCAGATATTAGTATCTTCACATGAGAGCATAGCTAACACCTCTCTGTAATGTTTATGACCTGCCCTTTCTGTAATATCATACAACACACCCTATCTTGTTGCCTTTTGGCATAGTCTCACATTATCTCATTTATGACAAGCAGCAGAGCTGAGGAAAGGCCATACAGCTTCTTCCACACTGATCCCTTCCTGCAGCTCTTTCCACGCCATGTAGGGCCAGTTTCCCAGGCACCAGTGCTGCTTATGATGTTTTCTCTTCCACTGCCCATGGAATGTCAGGATGGAAGCAGTGGGCATGGGATGAGGGTAATACCTGCAGCCAGGACAATGACTTTGGGTCACTGTCTGTAGTCCTCAGCACAGCAAGAGATACAAAACAGCTCAAGCATGTCCTGGGTAACTCTGATGGAAAAGCAGATGCAGTATATAAATTATCTAATGGACAGGGCTTAGTTTCTCTGACAAATGTGAGACAAAGGCAGTAGTTGCAGGTCTGAGCCAAGGTCAGACTGGCACAGTACATACTGCACAAAGAGGAGAATCTCCTGCTATCAGACAGACAAAGAGACCATTGCTGTGTATGAGGGTACTGAGCACAGCTGGGATTTCAGAGAAACCCAAGAAAAGCAGGCAGTTAAATCCTTCCAAGTCCCCAAATCACTTTAAACTTAGCATATAACTGCCTTAGACTAATTTTATAATCCCAGCCCTAAGTACTCTTGAGCTAATGATCATTAAGAAACATTATTAATTTCTAGTTGAATTTCTACTTCATACACTTTGTTACCTCATTAAAGGCCATATAGTTACCTGGGGATGATAATGGCATCATTTTAGCACCTCCTCTGAATCTTCACCTTTGTAAAAGTTTTGTATTTTCATGTTTGCAAAAATCCACAGCAGCAGCAATTTTGCATTCGGTAATGCAGTTCTTAAGGGCTGTTTGAATATTCAATTACTTTTTTGTTCCAGTTCTCACAGAACTGGCTAATCCATTTTACAAAAGTTAAGTTGTGCATGGAGGGGCACTTGAAACTTCACTTGTCTGGACAGATTTTGTAGGGACTCAGTGTTTATGATTATTTCAGGCTGCTGCTCAGTATTTACTGCAAATACTAGGGATAGGTATAGATTTGATGTAGGAT